AACAAAACTGTGCCAAAGACCCGAGTCAATTGACCCATGGTTCAGTCACTACCGGTTCTACCGCATAGAACCCGCCAACTCCTCCAGAGTCACATGGCAAAGGAATCGAACTCACACCCAACTGCCATCCAGGGTCCACATCCAGGGTCCACATCCAGGGTCCGTCACCCATAGTCCATCCATCATCCACGAACACCCCTGCAGGCCCCTGCAGCTCTGAGACCCCTCCCTATCCTCCCTACACCAGCGAAAGGGCATCCGGACGCCATTCGGCGTCGCCCCGAACACCTGGGAAAGGACGGTCAGAAAGGAAAGGAAAAAGGGAAACCTTCACACTCCTAGCAGGCGCTGTCTCCTAGCTAACTGGCTGGCTTCCGGAAAAAAAGCATGTGCTTCTGAGAAAAGGCTAAAGGGTGGAGGCCATCGCTCTTAGGTTGGAGGCCATCGCTCCTAGGCTTCATCGAGTTCCGCGAAACCAACTGCTCCGTTGGACGGATGACGGACGACTTGTCGTCCGCTCGTCGTTCGCAGGAACCGACGGTCTGATGGTCTGTGAGTCTTCAAGGTCTCCGGGTCGTGGACGATCACCGAGCCCGAGCCCTCAATATAAAGCATATTAAAGTATATATAGTTCCTTATGGCACCCGTGCAAGCAACCATGATACTAGACTGCATACCAGGCATATACCGATACCGCAAGTGACTGGGCAGTCACTCAGTTGTCTGTTGAATGGGTCAGTTGTTGGATGTTGTTGGGTTGGTTGATGTAGACTCTTGATTCACAACCCCCATGTATATGAAGACGTTGAAGAGCGTTCTACTCTCCAAATGGGGGAATATTAAAGCATGATGTAATTCATCAAGAGTATCCAATTACTTTTTTGCATGGATATCATCCATTCCTCCTGTTTCATTCTCGTGGAACCATCACCTCCAGAATCGGTCTTCCTCCACCCGAAGCAACTGGGTGCCCATGCCATGCGGCTTGGTGGGCGCATCGATGAGAAGCCTAGCGCGATCGCTGTCTGTGGAGGATGGATTCAATTTCCCTAATTAGGGTTCTGGGGCTCCAGTACCTCCTCAGGTAGAAATGGACCCTCTTGCACCTCAGTCCCACCTTCGAAACGAAGGTACGACTGGAGCCCTAGGGATTGAGTCTCACAGTCTGACGACAGTCTGACGGGGCACAGGGGAAGCGGCCCTGGAGGGTCAGCGGAAGAAGCGCAGAGGCTCGGTGTGGATGTCAACATGTTTGTCCAGCAAACAGGTCGAATGGATTGACAGGTGTTCTGAGCTGGACAAGTGGAACGTGATCGATTCAATGGCATTGATTGACATCAACAGATCGAATTCTGAGCTTTTTACAAAGAATGCTTAGCCTATTTAGACAACTCCTCGTTCGGCTTCGCACCCTCCCTGCTCATGTGGATCTAGATATGAGTACAGCAATGCTATGGCATACATACAGGTGCTTATTCCCTCCATACTCCCAACTCAAGGTGTTTTGGACATGCCTGCGTCCTGCGTCCATCTGGTCCTACGTCCAGTGATCCGCAACAACGGCGTGGGAGTCTGGTTCCCCACCTACCCAAAAAACACATGGACTAAGATCTACAGAGGTGTCTCTCAAAGGTGAAAAGGAGGACCACCGGAAAGCCCCTGAGAAGAGGAAAAAATGGGACAACCAGAACAAAAGGGGATCTTGAATTGCACACCGCACACCCAGATTTAGTGCTTTAGGTGCACACCAACATGTCATGATTGTCGGCCCATCTCCAATTTCCCCTCATTGCAGACCTCCCGTCATCAAGCTGCGATAGTCCTGACAATCTGACCAAATGTGGACTGACAAAGCCCACAATGGATGAAGGTCTTTAGAAGTGGTGTGAAGGTCGGGGTTTGCCTCACAAGAGGGACACACTCAGAAACCGCCTTGGAACAAAATCACGTGCTACAAGGAAGCCAAACATACAATGTTGTTTGAGCCTTTGAGAGGGACGACATGTGTCAGTGGTCATGACCCCCCTTCAGGGCTGGAGAGAGCCCCAAGAAGATCAGGTCGACAGTTTGAAGTTTGAAGCGATGTGACGAAGCAACAATCTCTTCAAGACACCAAAGGACAACTTGCGTACTGTCTGTCCCGCCTGCAACTAGGCCTTCAAAAATACATGTGAGGTACAGTACAGGGGGTTGATCCCTTCAACACACCTGAAACATGACATGGACTCGTCCACATCTCATCAATGAGACATCTGCTGTGAAGGAGTGGAGGAGACTGGAGGTGAGTTATGTTCAACAACCAAAAGCATTAGCATCGAGCCCAACAGGAAGCCCAACAAATCTGAGTCACACAAGCAATCGTTGTATCCCTGGCACCGGGGCAGTCGCGCAGATTTTTGTTGGTGAACATCAACAAGCTCCCGAATAGCCGGTGTCCCTCCACTTGTTGCAGGGTCTTGGGGTCTTGTGACTTAGTATGCTTTGACTTTTGTTTAATCAATCAGCAAATGCCTGCTAACGACTCCCCACCCTGAATCGCTGTCGCGCGAGACCGGCGCGAGACTGGGAGGGGGGTTCGCTTCCCCCTCGGTCCAAAGACTGCTCCAGTAGCATCTCCCATCAACGCTCATGGAGGCACGTGGAGACGCGTTTTCCGTGCCAATTCTCCAGGAGTTTCCAAAGAAGCAAGGGTTGCCCCCCCTGTGAGTAATCCACATCGCCTGCGGGCTATGGCACTTGATTGAGTGAGTTTTGTCCAATTTCAATCTCCATTTCTGACATGGGATGACGATGTACAAAAGTGCATGAACACCCACCAAAAAGATGTGGACTCATCATCTGGCTAGGGCCCGGGCCCTGGGCTTCTAATGGTTTCCAAATTAATCACTTCTTGACATTGATTGTTTCGAGTTCAAGAGCTGCCTCCTCACAACATACTCTGTAAGGACAGCTGCTTGGCTCCTACCTGTACCCAAAGGTGGTCCAGAAGTTAATCCAGATTTAGAACGCCCACACAGAATTCACACATCTTCTACTTCTTGAGCAACGAAACAATTGGCCAGCACATGCAGGTCCCTCGTGAGAAAGAGAAAGGAATCAAGCGTCCATCTGGAATCTATAGCTGTTACATTTCAGCTGCCTCAGCAGTTTTCAGCGAAGATTCGTCCAAAAACTGTCGGCACTGCACCTGTAAACGATTCTCCAAGGTACTTCAGGTCGAACACCGACTCCTTTAGTCGAAAACAATACACCACACTGCCCAGCTCCCCCCAGCATGTTTGTCCGCTGAATTGTTTGTGGGAAGCAACAACCCACCCACCCACCCACCCACCCACCCACCCACCAAACCGGTCTCTGCCAGTCTCTGGGATAGGAAGGAATGAACTGATTGGAACTGGAATGAACTGGATATGGATTGTCTGGGATAGAAACACGTTCGTCTTCTTCTTCTTCTCCTCCTCCTTCTTCTTCTTCACCCCACCCCTCACCACCTCCCACTGGGTTCCCTCTGGGCTCGGAAACGTCCAGCATCAGCAGCCGATTGCAAAGCAATTCCAAGGGACAACCTGCACGGTGGAGACTGGGTGAAGGAAGGCAACTGCTCTACAAATCTCTACAAGAAGCAATGACCCTCAAGGATCAAGACTTTTACGGTCCCAACCCTTGCTATGCAGGGTCAACACATGTCAAAACCCTCCAGTTCTGGGCCGTTCTGGGGGTCCAAGATGTTCCAAAGATGCTGACATAGGGTGGAACGATTCGCAGATGTCTGAAGCCTTTTTTTTCCGTCCAACCACCAGACATGTACCTTCAGTGTCTCCAATCACCTTCTGAGAAGGTACTTGGATCCTTAGGGTCAGTCTCTTCCTCAAACCTCGCTACTTCCCCTTCTGCACCATTGACTGGAAGCCTTGCAGAGAAGAACCGCAGGGATGTTCGTTGACACTTCGACTCTCCAACTGATGCTGTTCAGCAAGAGTGCATCACACTTAGCCATACTTTTGCCAGTACTCTTGTCTATGCTGTACTAGTAGGCAAACATCAGGAGGATGTGTCCATGGATCCCATGTGTGTTCTTCTTATCTCTTAATATATCTTATTCAACAACCCCTTTTGGGGGGATGGCTCATTGCCCATCAACAAAGTCACCATCCTCAAAATCCAAGCCATGAATAAGTTCATGCCTAGGGCGCACTGGACAGCTCACCACACCCTGCTCTTTTTCATGCAACAGAACCTCACTTCAGTGAGGTGAACAGCAGTCTGTCACGGTGGAGACGTTCGGAAAATGTGTCGCCGATGGGCAGGACAGCCGTCGGAGAGCCAGAAAGCCCGGGGCCCAGGCAATGGTTAGTGTATATATATATATACATTAATAGTTTGAGTATGTTTAAGTGTTTTTGTTGCTGACAACTGATGAGTGATTTGTTCAGCTAGCGGGCACAAACCCTTGATAGCATGGCAAACGCAAAAAAACACAGGATGAGTGCCCTCAAGAAGTGGCAGTCACCTGAACCATGTGCCCTCCAAGAACGAAGTGACTGCCCAGTAGCAGAAGACCTTTTCAGGCCTGAACCGAAGACCTTTTCAGCTGCCCTGAAACACACGAAGGTGCGAGAGTAACGATCTGTGTTTTGTGGTTTACTCCAATGTGCCAGATTTACTCAAATGTACCAGGTTCTCATTCCAAGAAACATCTCCAGCTCCTCTGGGTCTCCTGTAAAAACAACTTTATTATTCGAGATCTCTGGGGCCTAAACAACTTCACACACCTTCACAAGCCTTTGGATTGATTACCCCACTACTCCCTCGTCTACCCAGCAACTTTTTCATGTGATGAGATTGTTTTGGCTCGTCCATGGCCCTTTGGAGAGTCCCTTCAAAAGAACCCCACCGGCGACGTCTCAGCACCAACACTTCTGCTTTCCTCCGCTTCTGAAGCCACTTTGTCATTCGTCATGTTTGGGTAACTGCAAGATTCTGGAGATAAAATTGAACTTGACACCCTGAACATACCTGAATCATCCAACATCTGTTTTCTGGGACCTGGGACTCCCCACATCCGTCAGTCGTGCCAGGCTGTAAGGCTTCAACATGAGCTCAGAAGCTGGAAAAAACACCGCAAAAGCACCATGGGAACCTGAGTTCTGTGCGTCGGGCACAACGCCCTCAGGCGTATGTACCGGTCTTCTGCATCTCCTGGCATGCGCGGTCGAAAAATTGCATGTGGGTTCACCCACACTAAGAGCTCCGAAAAAGCACGCGCCTCCCTGATGAAACGCGGACATGACATGAACAATCACCCTTAGTACATCTTGGTACACTTGGCTCCTATGCTTTCCAGCCTGAAAAAGCACATGATCATCTTCCACATTGCCGCTTGTTGGGGCAAAGAGGCCAGGCACTCGCCGGTTTTCCGCCGTGAGACACCACAGGCATAGTGGGAGCAATTAAAATGTTGAGACAACACCACAGCTCAGGGACACCATAACACCACAATATTATGTTGCCTTAAGTACATAGTAGACTCCACATGCATGTGGGAACCTGAGCAACTACCCCCCGCCTTTCGGTCGCTGAACTCCACGACACCACGCACCCGACTCGTTGGGGTCCACCAGTCGGGTCGTGGAGTTCGGGCAGCGTGGGCGTGCTGCGGGGGGGGATGACCAGAGTTGCTGAGAAGAAGATCAGGTTTTTCATCCACATGCCTTACCATTCCCATCCATTCTTATCCATTCCAACAATTCTTTCAAGAGTGCGGTTCCAAGTCGCCTGAGCCGCCGTGATGACGCTGCTCCAATCCCAGTCTTTGAGCTCCTCCAAGGTACCGACCTCGGTTCGACCCGGGCCGTGGCGGATGGGGGGTTTGGCGGATGGGGGGTGTCTACACAAAGGTTGTATGCTCATTCCTCCCAAAGAACGGTGCTAAATGTTACCTTAAGAACGGTGCGTGTCCAAAGGCTACAGGTCATTTGCGGGTTAACATGGCTTTTCCGCGGCTTAATGGTTTAGTGAGAAATCCACTGCTAAACCAAGAGGACTAAGGGTCTAAAAGGAGTGCGCCTGAGGACAGTCAAGCTTGTGCAATCACAAGCACCCATCACCCATCGACCCGTTTCCATCCAGCATCTGATCTGATATTGTCTGATGCGGCCTGGCGATACTTCTCGGTGAAGTGCTTGTACCAGCCAGCCAAGGACTTGAACTGGAGCTCTTCCAACTCCTGCCATGTTGCCCTCGAGATTCGCCCCAGCCCGAAACGTTGGCCTGAACGGTCCCGTTCGAACCGTTCGTCCATCTGTTCCACGGTTGTCTCGATAGACCACCAAGTATCCAGTGCCTAGAATCCATAGAATCTAGGGTCTAGAAGATCGAACCTAAGCAAATTCACCCATTCTGCTGGCAGCTACAATGTCCTTTGGCACATGCGTTCACATGCTTTTCACATGCTTTCACCTTGGGTGAGCTCCCAGACCGCTTCCAAGCCTTTGACCAGATTCGATGGGCTCCCACCCATCAAACGTCACCGACGTATGTGAAGAACGTCGCGAACGACGAACGACCCAAACGATCGGTCTCTCCCGGTGTAATGCGATCATCGGACTCCATCGGTCTCCTGCAGCTTGAAATCCAAGCGGTTGGCATCTTCCCCCTTCAAAGACACCTGGGCGAGTGGGGGAAGGTCATTCATGGCGAGTGTGGTCGGTCAGACCTGCCTGGGTTAGGGAGAGCTGTGTGTTTTCCGTCCCCACACCCACGCGTCTGCGGAACGCGCTCGTACATAGCTCCTTCTTTGGGCGCCCAAAACATGTGCGGATCCGCGTTGGAGGAGCTTGGCCAAAGGAACCTCTGACCAAACACAGCAAAATGGTCCTATAGTATGTTAGTACTAGCTGCCAAAATAGTACGTATGCTATCACAAAATTTAATGGGCACCTCAACTAAAACTTCAGCTAGAGGGGCAAAGAAGGGAAGAATGAGTACAAGCTTGGGACTGCTGGGAACGTGCCCAACGAAACCCAATTTCTCTCCGAGATCAATTCAATTGTGATATGCCAGACCATCCATGCATGGCATATTTACCGGGTGGTTTCAGGGGTGAATGTAACATGTATATAGGTATATATATATTCCATACATGGAGCGTCATGGGTATGTTGATAGTTGCCTTTCCCTTCAAAACCGAAGTAAGAGTGGAAGAGCTGCTGGCCCAGGAATCACTAAGGAATCACAACTTCTTGCACATCTAGCTGTGAGTTCGTGACTCTAACGATCCCCCCAAAACATCAATTTGGAAGAAAGCCACCAAGAAGTACATCCAATGGGTGTCCAATGGACTCCGAACACATCTATGCCTACACTACTTCGGGATCTCCATGGGAGGCCCAAACAGGACGGTCCTTTTTCTGTCCACGTCCCAAGCGGTACGGTGCATCGGAAACCAGTCGTCACTGTCGTCACGTCCTTGCACCTGATTCAGCCGGGACAAAACCAAACGCCAAGGTTTGGATTTTTGTCCGCCACCGGAAAGAATGTAAGACAATGTAAGTATTATAGCAGAATTGGTTTGAGGATGTTCAAGGGAACATCTACGGGTTTGGGGGGAACACATGAGAAAACCACATTGATGGGACATAGAAGGACACATTCTTGGATTGTTGCAGTACAATGCAGTACATACATGACATCCTGATTGCCATTAGCCAAGTACACCTTTCTGGGGGCCCGCCCCAAGATTCCAACTCTACCAGCATCTACGTCATCATTTTGACGTGTAGCCCTCTCTGTGCAGCAAGGAAGCCAAGTGGAGAGTATGTGGAGACTTACGTTATATGCCACACATACAATCTGCTTGGATTTGTTTGAGGAATTGGCTTCACCAATAAAACACACGCACAAAACTGAATTCTCCCAAACATATCCAAACATAACCCCAAGCAACGCCAGGGTCTGACCCATCACATCCCAAACCATGAAGCACCGAACCCGAACCATGGGGGCGCTGCGCGTCGGCCGCTGAGGGCTCTCTCCCCCCGGCCGAAGACGCCAAGAGTCCGTGGCCATGGCCCAGGTGCAGTCCTGGCGCTCGTCGACCGCTCGCCCCACGACCGGAGCGGTCCCCGGAGTTCCGGGAGCCGGCGGTGGCGCGGTTCGCCCGGCCCATGCATTGGAAGGACCAAGCGGGGGTGCTCCACAGACTTGGTGTTGATTGGATCGAAGGGGTCTTGCCCGGATGAATCCGCGCTGTCTCATGAGGGAGGCTTGTGGCTGGAGGCCTTCCGTGTGCTCTTTGGTCATGAAGCTGGTACAGGAGTCTTTCTTTCAACCGAACATCGAGCTTCTATCCACACATGTTCATACGGGTGTGTCGACTAACAGGGACCCCCAACCAATATCAACCAATGAGTTTTGGGTCAAAATGTCATTCTTCCAACAGATTTGGGTGGTCTCCCTGTGGTCTCCCTATGTACTAGTACACTGCTACACACCTATCCCATCCCATACCCATACCCATCTGCAACCCTTGGGCACACTACCATCCCTCATCCTCCCACCCGCGCAGTCGCGTCGGTCAACAGGTCCTTGCCACCCCACAGCTTTCCATAGCCGTGGTTTGGGTCGAAATTCTCACTGGGAGACACCTAACAGAATGAACCCAAACACGCCATGTATGCCATATTTGCCTACATTGGGGAAGTTTGGGGGTCAATGACGGTCAATGTAGGCATATATATATGGCATACAAAGAGTGTTTGGGGAAGAGTGTGGCCAACCCGAGCACAAGAGTTTGGTGAAAAGGGGATGAAGAACATAAAAGAGCTGAGCCCTAGGGCTCCGAGTACCTCCTCAGAATGTATTGGAACGCTCTAAACCCACCTCGAACACCTTCTCAGAATGTACTTGGAGCCCGGAGCCCTATACTATATGTATGATGAATAAACTCATCCCCTAGCACCCATGACAAAGGAATCATCGGTGAAAGGATGTAGGAAACCTCAACCAACCATCAACCACTCTTGGAACCTGATATCCCCAGGCGATAGAAAGGCCGAGTGCTGCACTCCTGTGTTTACGGAAAATGACAGGGTCGGGAGTGAACCTTCGTGACTTGGATTGAAACGAATTCCCACTCCAACAACCAAGTGGATAGAAACACAAGTGGATAGAAATGATATAGAATAATATGTGTTATCGATCAGATAGAATCACAGATTCCAACCTCGCATCACATATCGCGCCCGCATCCTTCTTGCTCTTTACAGCGCTCATGCAAATGAAATCCCCCGCCGGCGTGGTGGTTGCCTATGACCCTGCAGGCCAAGTGACATCGATGACCACACCACAAAGGCCGATCAACATTGGGAGCCTCAATGCAAAGAAGGCCAAACAAACCTATACATTGACCCTCAAACAATGTAAACCTACCCGTGCCATGTATATAGGCAAACATGCCAGTCACATGGATTGTCTGGGAATGGTGGGAACCGCTCATGGATCAGCATTGAGGCCAGAACTTTTGGACTGACTGGGACCTGCCAAACTGTCTGAAACTTTGTCTGACCGGAACCCGGACAGTGGGGTTGTGGGGTTGAATACATTGGCTTCGAGAACCCTTGAAATGGTTACGGTTATAGTTTAACTTTTGGGGGCATTCAAGACCTGGTGGACATACTGTTGAAGTGAAGAAGGACATCCAAACGACACCTTCTCTCGGCAGTGTAGGATGTCTTCCTTCAGCGGTTGAAAAACGTCAAAACCCTGGTCGGATCCGGGCATACCCATGTCACAACACTGCTTTCTAAGTTTGCTCGTCTATTTTAAGGTGAATATTGGGATTTCTTACTTCACCAAGCAAGGGAAGCTGTCCCTAGCCAGAACTGAACAGCATGGTTTTGCGGAGTAGATTCCCCCGTTCCCATGTGGTTGGATCTAAGTCCTCCCCGCCTCGCCACTCGCAACATCTCGCAACCACCAACTTCAAGAACTAGACAAAGAAAACCTACTGCCACATATAGGTCTGACCGCCACCCCTTGGGTCCCAGTTCCTTTTGGAGGGCCACCTGTCCTTTAATTCCCGAGAAACACCTCTCCTCACCGGTGTGATCTCACCAGGAACAACACCGGGACCGGTCGTTCGACCGTTCGCCGTTGGAGTCTCAGCAGCTCTCGGCCGTTCCAGCGCTTGAGACTCTCCAAGGTAAAGCTGCCATTGAGAGCCTTCAGCTCCTGAGTCGAGCGTCACGAACGCGGGCGGCGTCCCCGCCCGCGCGCCAAGGGCCGGCCGGAAGGACCCGCCCTTTCTGAACCATCGAACGGATCGCGATGAAGCGCGAAGAATCGCGGTGGTTGTTTTGGTCTTTTTCTCTCCGGGGTGGCCCCAACAAGAAGACAAGGTGAGCAAGCTGGAAGGATTTGGACCTTGACCAGGGAACTATAGTGATGAAGTACAAAACACCGTATGACGGAGCCCAGTTTTGGGATGACCCAAATGGGGGCGAGTTCTGCCTGGCTGAAAAAGGTATACGGATCAACCAGGTCCGAACTGAGTGCAGGCGGAACGGGCAGTGAATCTCGAAATGAGCCGCGAGAAGAATGGCACAATCACAAAAAGAACACGTCCAAAGAATTGGAAGGGCAGCGAAAGTCTTCTTTGGGCACCTTTGCATGCAAAAGGACTAAGAAGCTTTACATAGCTTTACTAACCAGTTCCACGACTCGGGAAAAAGACGGGACACACACACACATGCATTTGTCTCCTCTGCAATCATCCCAGTCCATGCATGTAGGAATACTTTATAATACTGTATATCCCAGACACTGCATGTATGCCATATATGCCTACATTGACCCCCCAAACCACCCCAATGTAGGCATATATGACATACATGGAGTGTCTGGGATATAGGATTGGATAGGATATTAGAACCGTCCGTTCCTTTCCACCTTAAATATCTTCGATGCCTTTGTGATGCCTTTGTGGCCCTGCAGTACCTTGCCGCAACAACTGGTGCCCCTCTCAATCCTTTGGACCGTAAACCCTGTTCGACTGTGCTCAGACGGGTTTCTTCTTCTTCTGTCCTGACGTTTCACCATCCTTCGCACCATCCTTCGACCAACACGATCTCCCAACGTCTTCGCCCAACGAACGACGTGAGACTTGGGACGTCGCCCGCCTCCTCGAACGCTGGAGTGAACTTCGTTCCTGCCCCCGATTGTCCCGCGGTGCTGAAGCACCGCGGGTGGGGGATGGGTGAGGCCAGTTTATAGAGCCAACAATGACATGTTCCATGTCCAGGTTTATAGAAGCAACGAGATTTCAATAAGACATCACACTTAAAGAGTGTCTTAAGAGTTTGGCATGGCTCGGATGACTCCGCCGACGTGGCCGACATCGATAGAGGTCGACTCTGTGGGCCATCAAGCTCGGCGTTTGGGGGGCGTGAGATGGAGAAAAAGGGGGCCAACACCAGACCGGAGTGAGAAAATGGTTTTGAGAAAATGACGCGGGTGTTTGATGACTGTGTTTGATGACTGCGTAGCGCACTGAATAAGATTCACTAACTCTTGCTTGAGATTGGCCCTTCCAAGCATTGTCCTTGCAAAGATGCTGGTGGTTTTCATGATTCGGTTCCTGACTTTCGTGAGACTTTGATGGTTTCATTCTGTTTCATCCAAATCCAGGAGGTCCACATCATGTGCCTGCAGGTCAAAGCCCAAGCACCCTGGTTGACCCCTGCCAATTCAACCAATCCCTGTATAAGGGATGTCAACCTCCCATCGTTGAAGCGATGGGAGGTTTTGCCTCACATATATAATTTTGTCTCAACACTTTCAGGGGCCTCCGAACTCCACCGTGGAGTGAACTAATTAACGTGAACTCCCAATGCACCGTTTTCGCCCAACTCGTCGTCAGACGTTTTCGCCATTCGTCGTCAGAAGGTGACGTCGAGTTCCGGTCGTGAGTTCTCGAACGGTTCTCGAGAGTTCACAAAGTGTTCACTTCGCTTCCCCGAAGGCTATATAACCCAGACACGACCCATGGGACGGCCATATATGCCGATCAGGCCAGGGGCGGTTTTGGGGGGGTCAATGGGGCGGCATATATGGCAGTCCCATGGAGGGTCAAGGTAAGAACCTCACTTGGTGCTTTGGTGAAACGATGTGAAACTACATGGAGGCCAGTCTCACGACTTGTCGCCTCCAAAAACATCGTAAACATCCAAACCCAAGCTGGCAACTTTGAAGAACACCTGCAATCCGTAGGAGGTCTGTATCAACCACAATCTGGATTTCAACACAGCTTCCCGCACCTCCAGGCCAGTCATCTTCCACTGGTTCTCTCTGCCTTGCCAAGTTGAACTATACAGGTTTGGCAAACAAAACACAGCTTTTTGATGTGGGACTCTTGGCCACCAACTTGGGCAGTGTGGGATCCAGGTTGGCTTTAGCTTCCCCCCTTCCATCTGGCTGAATTCTGTGGGATTTCACGTGACACACACGTGCGCACGCACAGCAAAGCCGATCTGAGAGTCAGGCTTCTCTGGACCTCACAAACGGAGCAGGGCAACGGATAAAAGTGAGGCCCGGCGAACGCCTGGTGTTTTTTCATCAACTCCTTTGACACCATATTCCAGGATCTTCTCCATCAGTGGCGTACATTCACATGGATTTGCCAAGTTTATCCTTCCCCCGGTCCAATGGTTGATTCAACATTCCAAACTTTAATCATCAGCATTCATAATGCCCATCTGAGCATTGTTCAACAAATAATATATATATATATTGTTAATTCCATGCAATTCCCATCAAGCCGCTGTTTGATCCGCAAGTTCAGCCAAACATGTGCCGCAACAAAGCCATGACAGCTTTAGTGAGAAGGTGGCTTTGCTTATGGTACAGCCAGATCAATCAAGATTCCTCAAACTTGTCTCAATACATCTGCTTGGTTTCCAAGCATCCCAAGACTTGAAAATAGAAGCAAACACGTGCAAACGCATGGAAAAGCAAAGCTTACGCAATAGAAGCAAAGCTTACGCTAGTGCTTCAGCCAGAAACTGCTTGAACGACCGTATGCAATTCAGTTTTTTGCTTACGCACAGTCTCCTTATGACCATATCGATACTAATTATCAACACCAAAGTGTTGAACCATGCTCATCTTATCTGTCTATCTACAGGCTCTTCAATGCAATCACCTCCCTCCGAAAAAAATGACTCCTAGATGACTAGATGTTTTTTCATCCCTAAAACGCCCAGAAAGAGCCCAGCCAGACTCAGCAGACTGGCGGCTCAGCATCCGCTCCGTTTCGACCGACTCGCCGGACGTCCTTGGGCTTCCAGACTCGCCGGTCGCGACGCGCCGGCGACCTTCTCGAAGAGCCACGTCATGAGCCCACGGCGCACCTCGGAGACGGGCCAAGACCCATTAGTAGCATCCTTTGTTCCTAGTAGCAATGCCCTTTGATTCTAGTAGCGAACCTTGTTCCTAGTAGTAAGGCCAGGAGTCCCGAACGTAGCATCCTTGCTACTAGGTGGAGGAATTGGAGAGGGACTTGGTCTGGACCGAAGTAGTGTGTAATATCAGTGTGTCATGTGATGGGAATGGAGTGGATTCTACCGTTATAAATCGATGCTGTTCAATGCCACTGTCTGTTGAGAATGGCCAGAAGTGTGCGCTACGCGCAGGCAGATCTGGGCCAAACATATTTCACTGGTTGCACCCGGTACTGAACAGCAGCTGCATGTGCTGTTGAAGCGTGCTTTGAAGCGTGCATTTGGCATTGTGTGGGGCCTCGATCTTGCCGATCTTGGTGATGTGCTGCAAATTCCTCAGGTCCAAAGTGTGGGCGAAACTGTACGGGTCTGGTCTGGCCTAACAGGATGATCAAGCGAAACAGGATCGATTTGAGAAGCTAAATATACACCCTGGACTCTACCCTGGCTTCGATACCCTCCGGAACGTTCAACTTGTATCTTGGCTATACATTTCAAAATATGATTTCTTTTGGCCAGCAAACCTGCTGCTGCAAAGACAGGTTTGCACCCTGCCACCCAAGAAATGCTCTTGGTAGGCTATGTAATATGTCAATGTGAGTCCATGCCAAGCTTCTAGGTTGATCAAGAGGAAACCCTGACACAGTATGATTTTTCACCCGACCCCTCAAAAATGTACATTCAAAGGAAGGGTGTGGTCCATCTGTGTTCACTCTAACAGCATCCAACATCATAATGATACCTAAAGACAGTACAAGATCCTTGCCTGTGCATCTTTCGGCGGTTCCAAGGGGGTTCCTGTTGTTTTCTCACTCTTTCTTCCGTCTTCGGTTTTCGTTTGGAGTCCAGGGATCTTCTCCAAGGTTTCAGGCGTATGGATCTCCACCCACTCCTCCGTGGCATCCTTTCCCAAGTACCTCAGGTCTCAAGGAGACCCACTCCTCGTCGAGTCGTCGTGGGCATTCGAGGGGCTACTCTGATCTTGTTTGAGTGACGCTGATCTCATAGGGGGGGTTCAAGGTCTTGCATGAGAAGTCTTGGGTAGTCTTGAATATGTCACACCTTTCTTCCACCTTTTGGATGCCCCACCTCTGCCTATGTTTGAGGGAGGGCCCTCTGAAGCTCTGAAGTGTTCTGATCTATCAAAGGCCGGTTGGAGGGATTTCCTGGGTCTCTCTGTCTCTGTCTCTGTCTGTCTCTCTGTCTCTGTCTCTCTCTCTCTCTCTAAATGCGCATCCAGCGCGAGCGTTCCACTTCATCCATGTATATCAACGTCAGGTTTGCAAACAAGACCAAATATAGTAGACAAACCATTTAAACAAATCAGAGTCCTTGTATGTCCATGTCACTCGTCACGTGCCCATATTTAAAAGAAATCACCAAGCGACATGTGGATGGTGTCTTCGCCTCGTGCCGTTGGGGGTGGAGTGGGATGAGCATGTTACATGGCCACCCCTGGAAGCAATTTCTTCTAAGACATGGAAACACAAACAGGATGGTGTCCTTGGATTGCCCCTTCTTCGAGGGTGATGTTGTGGTTTTATGTCTAAAGATCAAGGCCGATGAGACCGAACATTATAGGTCAGCTCCAGGTTAGTTGTTGACATTGGAAATGGCTTGGGAGTTCCCAGTACGTAAACGGGCTGTTTGAGGTTCCAGCTAAGAGCTTGACAAACATGAACATGTGCTTTCCTCATTCCTCATAGCATCTCAGAAATATTCACAGCAGGACATCCGCTATCTTGTTCTGCTCTACAGCTTTTCTCCGCCTGTCTTTGTCCACCCCTTTCAGGTGTTCTCTGTCGTCCACTTGATTGGCCACCAAGATCAACAAGTCTGCGATCCTGGTTCCCACAACACAAGCAATAGACCCTCCCGCAAACTGACTATGGAACCATATGGAACCCGAGAATTGCGGGTTTCAACCAGTTTCCGAATACCAATCCAAAAGGTTTTGGGAGTCCAATGTGATCCGAATCGCAGGGGAGTCATATCCCAGACACTCCATGGCACTGCCATAGGACTGCCGCCCCAGAAAGACCCCCAACACCACCCCAGTGTAGGCACATATGATATATGGCATACAGTTACATGGAGTGTCTGGGTATAGTATTCCCTCACCTCGCCCCGTTTTTTCACGCTCGCTCGCAGCGACCAACCCGTCTGGCTCCCGCTCCCGTTGTCCCGTTCTTCAGCGCTCCCAGGGACCACCCGGATGGATAGGCACGAACTTGGTCACGTCCAAGACTTCGCCGAAGAGCACCATCCAGGCATCCTCCTGGTGAGGACGGAAAGAAACCGCGGCTTCGCTCGGGGGAAATACTACCGGACCTACCTACCTACCTACATCTACCTACAT